TACATTTTGGGAGCCTTTGCAAGAAATAAGGAATAATCATAGAAATGGCAGCATGCTTGTTTAATTAGATTTGAAAGATTTGATTATATAATGGAGTATACATCACAATGGACTAAATGTTGGCTTTTGTGATTTAACTTCTATGTATACATATGAAGAGGGTATCACAATTGTTCTCTCTTCACCTCTTTCTCCACCTGGCTGTGTTTAAATTACAAGGTTATCACTGTAAAAATCTCAATATCAAATATCTGAGAAAAACCTCAACATTTACATTTTTATTCATTTTAGATATTACTCAAGGGAAGCAAATTACAGCATTAAAGTAATTGAAGTGATTGAAAAGTCAAGATGTTATGGTGTAGTATCAGCTATTGCACTGAATTAGCCTACCTTTCATTCCGTTGTTTAAAAAAAAACCAAACAAAACGGCCCACAGAATGCCTTGTAAACCATTAACTCTTTATGAAGAAGTACTGTTAAGTCAAAAATGTGAGAAGAAAACTTCTAAAAAAGGCTGCTTTTGGTTGTCATAGTACAGATTGGCTGCTGGGGATTATTTTACAAACAGTTAAAACTTATAGAAAACAAAGTAATCTTAAGACTTAAAGGTGCTTAACAACAAATTTTAACTACTAAACAAAAGTGGATTCTAATTTTGTGATTAATTCCCAGATATTTTTCCATTAATGTGCAAATGACTGGGACTCCAAGTATCATATATCAGAAGCACCCATGTTAGACCGTAGTTGCCTCCAGCCTCATGTAGGCTATAGAGAGTTAAGTATTACTGGAAATGAAGTCAGAGTTGCAGTAGCCTGAATTTCCCCTGGAAGTGTCCCTGGTCTTTCCATGGCTCTCATAGGGAACCTAGGGCTTTGGTGCCCTCAAGCTCAGCATCCGAAGTCAGAAGTGATAACTGTAAATTATGTCTCTAGAAGTGGAATGACTGTTCACTAAGTGTAGAAAGGGAAGATCAGTTTGCAAATGCCCAGGAGGGAGAAAAGTCCCTTTCACCATTATTTGCTGTTGATTATGTAGAAAAGCCACCTCTTCTTCTCAGAGCAGCACAGGTTGGAGTATGGAACAATCTCATGCTTCATGTAACAACTTCCTTTGCCCACCTGGAGGCAAAGTTAGTGTTGATTAGTCATTTTGTAGAAGTGCTTCTTTAGAGTCTGCAGGTAATAGCAACAGGTCTATATCACTCCGAGGTGTGTCTGGTGGTGACAGAAACCCAGGTACATTACAAGGGGCACCTTGTGAAGAGAGAAACAAACACTGTAAGACTCTAAGGGAGTCATCCCTTCAGCACTGTAGGGTTGTGCTGTCATACAGGAGACACTCAATGTGTTATTCATATTGATGTGTGTCCCAAGTGTCTGTCCTGCTCACAGGAATAAGGAACCCTCACAACCAATTAGGAAATTGCGGTCATATGTATATCTATTTTTGGAACAGAGTTAGAGGGGAAGAATATGGCTACACTTGAAATTACATCACTGATGACAAAACTCAGTTTGATTTTGTGACCATTAAAATCAATTCAAATTGCTAGATTGTCAGACTGAAGTTTCCTTCAAGAGATAATAAAGCAGAGACAATACTACTACAGCTCTTCTCCGACACAGAAAAGTTGTTTTTACATATGCAGGCACCCACATACTCACTTAAGTACTGTGTGTTGTGGAGGGACTGATTTTTCTAGTTTGTCTTTCTGCTAAATTACATTATAACCACCGACTTGTATGGTATATTCCTCAGATAAATGAAATGAATGGAGACAATGAAGAATATATCTTCAACTCTCAGCAACTCTAAGCAAAGAGTTCCCCTGATTTTTATAATTTTAAATATATTTTTGGTCACAGTTTCATATAGATTTGCATAATTACAAAATAAACAACTTTTTTTTTCAGTTGTTTGGATAGTCCAATGAATTCACTTACACTCATCTCATCCCAGGAAGTGTTATTCCTGATTTACACCAAATATTTGTGAAACCATGATTGCAACATTCAGTTCTAAATTTCAATTCTTACATTTATGTTAATCCTATTATGTTTTATTCCCTTTTGCTTCTCCTTCTTTGCTTCTCTTATCAAGCCCCTTGGCTGCTTCTAATTTCTATTTTTACCAGTTTTGCTGTATTCATAATATACTTTTGACTTTGATATCTGTTTGCTTTTGAGATTAAGGTCCAGAAAGACAAAGGGTGTTCAAAAAGTATTCTTGTTCACTAATTTTTTTATGCTTGTCTATACACTGAACAGAGGGAAGTAAAAATAACACGTACTTTGAGTGGGAGATCACCAAATAGTACTTCAGGTTTTCTAAAAGGAGTTACGCAACTTTCTGTGTCCATCCTGTAGTAGCACTTGTTGCTTTTTTTTATCCAAACTGAGGCTATTGTATTAGCCACACCATCTAATTGTAGACTTTCAGATATCCAGTGTCTAAATTTTGTGGCCTGGTTAGGAAGGTAATATTGCTGTACTTTCTATATAATAAGTTGTTGACAAGAAGGACAAAATACTAAAAAAGTTAAATATGTTCCAACTGAAGCAAATTCAAAGGTGCAGAGCTCATCCAGAGAATCTTAGTTTAGTATTACTAAGCAATGAATGTTTGGTTACTTGGATATTTCAGCATTTGTCTTTTATACTAACTCAGGGCAAAAAAACAAACTATAAATACATCTATCAAATCATTGAAAAAGCAATGACTAGAATGAAAAAAAAATCAGAAAAAATAATTCAAGAGTATCACAAGTTTTATATATTTTCTCTTTTTTTTTAATAACGTGAATTATTTAATTTTGTGTCAATATTAATTTTAGTATATCACTAACCTCTGAGGTATATAATGACCTCTGCAGTTCTGGCTTTCTCATGTCCTATTTTTCCTTACATATGCATGCTGGATGTGTCTCTGGATGGCCCTAACACAATCTCCCATGATGTTCTATGGTCTTTCTGGTTACCAGTTCATCCTCTGTACCCATTGTACCACTTCAGGCACAGGTCCAAAGCTCTGGAGCTTCCTTGGGACTAGTATGAGCGTATATTTTGACATCATTAGGATCTTTCTGCACTCTCCAAATCTTTATTTATGTAACATAAAACACATTTAATGAAGTTAATAGATTTTTTCCTAAAACAGAAATTTTATATGCTTTCTTAAGCATATGAAAGATCACAGAAGAAAAATAAAATATAGAAAACAAAACTTCAATAGATTTTAATGTTCATTCATAACAACAGGAATTTTCTGGACTATGCTTTCTCATGTTTTTATCCCAAAGAACTGAGGTCATACATACTTTTTAAAGAAAGATCTTATTGAACGCACATAACCATGCCAGGGTCAGTTCCCTCCATTTTTTGTAATACAACAAAATAAATGTTACCCAGTTTTAGGCATGACAATTAAAGCTTATTCTTCTACCCTGGGGAAAATAATTTCACTCCCCCAAAATTTTTGATTTGTTGGATACATACCAGGATAGAGTTAAAATTAAGACTCTCAGATTATTATTATTTTTTTTTTTAAGAGAGGTCTTTTCCCATTAATATGCATTGTAGAATTCCTACCAGTTCAGTGGAAGTGGAGATAAACTAATGCTGAAAATATTCTCTACACACTAAACTTTTGAGAAGAGCTGAGATGGCAGAAGCAAATGAGGATTTTGTGAGAATTTCAACTTGAAATAAAACTTCTAATCCAGTTTCAAGCTACTTCAATGTTGCTTGAAATTTTTTAAAAGAGTTTGTTTACTTTTTATTTAAAAATTAATTTTAACAGTTTAAGCAAGACTGTTGGAGATTTTAAGGGCTTTTATTGAAAACAAACAATGAATCAGGTACAATTAGTTTCAGTGGGACTGAGTATCATTTGCTTTAAAAAAAATTGAGGAAAGTGAATTTTGTCAGATTTTAAAAAAGGGTCTCCAGCCTATAATATAATTATTTTAAAAGACAAATCACAAAATAGTAGAACTTCAGACTCATTCTCTTAGGAAAAACAGATATATAATTTATTTAAAAATAGATGTGCTTTCTCTAACAAAAAAAGGGAAAAAAAAGTTGTTTGTTCATCAATTTTGTATGTTTTACAACTTTTATTAACAGAAGCTACCTTTACTACATAGATGAAAATGTGCAAGAGGCATCTTCCATAGTCTCTGAACTCAACGATCTATTACATAAATGCTTTTACTCTCTGGACAGAGGGAGAGAATATAAACTTTGACAATGTGTTTCAGTCCCAAATCCAGCATATTGCTGGCCTACTTCAGATACACAGGAGCGCTCACCCAGAAAGTTGCATCTCCCAAAATGTCAGCCTTGGGGCAAGCTGCTCTCCCACTCACCACAGCTACTTGCTAAGAAGAGAGCAGGAGCTCTGCACCCACCTGTCATCCCAACAAGCAGCTTGTATGAAAATGCAAGGGAAGCTGGAGCAGTTCTTCATTCCTGAATGCAACTATCATAATCCAAGTGCAATCTGATGCAGTGAGAATGTAGGTATGAAGTGGGAAATATTCCAATTCTCTGTGCTAATTTCTGTTTTATTTTGATGAAATTCAGAACACATGTAACAAAAAAATGTCTGTTTCTCATCCAAAAGCTGCTTTTAGGAGGAGCAATTCTCAGTGGGAAAAGGTCCAGTCTTTGTTTCTGTGACAGCTTGACAGGAAGCACTCATAGCTTTTCAAATCTGCTAAAAGCCACTTGGTAGAATATTAATCTGTTTCAGAAAGTGGAATGTTATACTAAATCAACCAGAAAATTATTCTGGTTCAGATGCTATTTCTATAAAATGCCTGTCCTTTCAGCTCATCTCAAGCTTAAGTTTCATGGAACTTAAGCAGCTCCTTACCAGTAGGAACACCACTGGACACATTGCTGAGAAATTGTTTCATTTTAAACATACAGTTTTATGTTTCAGATATTAGTCATAAAGATTACTTGTCTCCTTCTTCCCCTGCTTAGCCACAGTCAGGGCAAGAGATTAGCAGGAGATTAGCAGCCAGACAGACCCAGAAGATTTTCAGTATCATCCTGTCTATTTTGAAGGACTCTCCTGCAACTCCCCACTGTCTCATGCTGCAGAAGGCACAGGAGTGAAGAATAAATGCTGGCAAAAGAAAGGAAAACTGGAAGAAACAGGTTGAGATCTTCCCAGCACTTTCTGTATATTGCAGCTGTATGTCTTTGATCCCTTTCTGAGAGAAGTGCTGGTGGTTCCTCTGAAAATGCTGGTTGGCATGTGAACACTTGAGTAAGAGGAAAGTACAAGGACAGAATGAGCAAGCCCTGCAAGCCAGCCAGCCACAGATGCTTTCCTTTAGTGCATAGTTCCCACTCAACACTCAACATCCATCTTATTAGATGGAAATCTACTTGGGAGAGAAAAGTTCCTGTGAAACTCTGCTCCAAAGAGCAAAGTCATAAACTTCTGAAAAGCATACTTGGACAATTATTGGAGAAAAAAAAAAAAAAAAAGAAAGGGTTAAAGGGAACAAAAATGGACAGTCAGGTCTGAAAAGTATCCCTGATATAGGGATACGCAGGAGTAGAAGGAGAACAAGACAGGACTTGAGCTCTGAAGGTAAAGGAGACAAAAATAAAAAGGTAGTTGTAGAAAATAATAAAGAAGTTTATATAATTACTACAGTATTTTCCTTTTCTGAACATTAGAGTGAATGCTTGGATCTGTTTTCCTTTACTGTCATAAGCCGCTGTGAAATGCATTAGAAAGGTATAATTTGCATCACATATAGCAAAATATAGGAATTGGGTGCCTACGCGTAAAAACAAGTGCAGACAGCTGTTTGTTGTCTGTGGTTTTGTGTGAAACCAGGTTTAATACAGAAGCTGTAAAGTCAAAGGATATATTACCTATAGGACAACCCTGTACATAGGACAACTGGGCTTCTAGGCTGGGTCAGGCTGATGTGCAGAGGCTGGGAACACAACTGTCTGTCTTATTTATCTAGGTAACATGTCAGTGAGAGAGAGACACAGTGGTCTAGCACAGGACCACATTACCTCTCTCTCCACTGTCTTTTTTATAGGGAGCTATAGCAAAGGGATGACTTTTAAGTACTTTAGTTTAAGTTGCAGAGGCCTGTGTATGTCACTTGGAAAATCAAAAGGGTCACAGGAAATGTTTCTTTGTATTGGAAAAAAAAATCCATCAGGGAGTCTAATGAAAAAAATGCATATTTTCTGTGCAGAAAAAAAACAGTTTTCTGACTTGTTCTGGGATAAATCTTGTTGTCAATCAACATGGAAGACAATACGCATCCACATACTTTAGTATATTTTTAGGTATTATTTTGCTCACTTGAAAAAAAAAGAAAAAAAAGAAAAGAATAACCCTAGGCAATTGTATTAAACCAGCAACACTGCTTTGCTATATGAAAGGTAAAATTGTAAAGCCAGCTGCTCAGAGTAAGGAAAAGCTGCAATGAAGGTTACCAGTGTTCCTTTTGTGCATCTGCATTGGAATTAATTACATAATCATACAGCATTTTTTTAAAAAACTCCTGCCTTATTCAGTGCACAGTATGAAGGGAGCTCACTGAATGGGTAACTTCAATATTTCAAATATGGGGAGCTTTCAATATTCAAGTGATTGATTCCAAATACTTAAAAATTGATTTGGTTTGCATACAAATTGATCCTGAATTAGGCAATGGTTGTGTCCATGATGAAAACACTTCAGTTAAATGACACATAGAGAAAGCTTAATTGATACTTTATGGTTTCTCAGCAGATGTCTATATTCAAATGGAATTACTGTAAAAGAATTTTCTAGAAAGATGTAGGTACTGTATCTGAATAAATCATTTGCATTTGCTCAAATGAAGTTATATGCAGTAGGAGGTGCTGGTTATACCAGCAAGTCATAAACATACTTTTATTTTTGTATCTCTTTTTTCAAATTGTGCATTAAAATGAATCCAGAACGGGACTGATTTCCTGTATATTATGTCAGCTTCATGCTGATGCAACTCTCTTAATTGCACTCTTTTACCACCTAACTGCCAGTTATATCAGTAAAACCCAGTCTGTACACATTTATACTGTATTTATTGTCCCATTATTTCTCTTTATAGAAAAAATAAAATCGTATGAAAATTCTGTAGGGCTAAGAATTTGAATTCTAAATAAAAAGTGGGGCACAGTTGAAACCAGTGGCAAAGACCATAAGAGTGAAAATTCGTATGTAGTTTCTAATAAGACTGTGAGCTCCGGTTCATTTTCCCCCTCTGACGGTCCCAGTGTGAGTCTGCTTTTACTGTGTATCTTTGTAACCCTATTGTCTCCACGTACTAAAGCTCTCACAATGCTAGGAAGAACATGATGCAGAAAAAGAAATGCAGATCAGATATCAGTACGTGAAATAAAATGCTGACAGTTCTTTTAAATCCTTTCTGCAGTTTGATTCAAATGCTGTGACTAGGTTGCTGTGGTTAAGATTATTAGGCAAAATATTTTCCCACAAGAAACCACTACTTTTCTCCACTTAATTACCAGATGTTAAAAAAACCTAAGTAGTTATTCTTCTGGAAACTCACCTGTGCCTTTTAGCTAATTACAGGAAACTTCTAAGTTATTTCATGCAGCTTTTGCTATGATGTTGCAGGATTCTTAATGTTAACAATGGTCTGTATCTACAACATAGTCTAGCATGACGCCATAACCAATAGTCATTAAATTAGCCCCCTTCAAACAAGAGTTTTGTCAAACAGGTAGAATCTGTACTGTTTCAGAGTCTCTTGATCCCTGCTTCATTCCCATGGCTGGGAACAGAAGAGAGACCTGAAGTCCCATATTGTACAACTCAGACCCCTCTCAAACTATGAGGGTAAGTTCATAATTTTAAAGGTTTTAAAAAGTTAAACATTCTATAAGACAGAACAGTAAACTTTCAAATGCATGGATTAGGGAACACCAAAACTTCTATATTTTACTGGAAAATGGGGAATCTTTTGTGCCATTTCTGCACAGCTAGGGCAGCACAAATGAGTCATGAATGGCTAAAATGCCTGTTCATTTTGTGGAGATATAAAGGATTCACAAAACTGAAGACAGTGGAGAGTTGGACTATTGATATTTTAAAGGGAGATGAGTTTCATCCATTGAGATATAGAAAGAGGAGTCTCAAAGATGCTCAATTGATTAATTTCTTGAGGGTAAGAGCAAACTTTCAGTTTCAGTTTGTGACTTACCCTACAGTTTCTACTATTTGAGCAATGTGTTTGAAGTTAGTTTTTCATGTTTGATAGATTTCCACCTCCAGTCTGGCAGAGGTTAAAGTTGTACAATTGAATTAGCCAGCTAAGCCATTAATGTGCAGTAGAACACACTCCTAATTTATTATTCATCTGACCTGTTGTGAATCCAATCCCGAAATTACAATTTCTTAAAGGATTGTAAATAACTAGAACTACAATTCTTTTATAAACTACTTCTAGGTTTAGCAGATGGAAAAGAACTGTGATAGACACTCCAGGTAAGTAGTTACAATTTCAATTCAATCTGTTTTTATGGAAATGTCACAGAAAGTGTTAAAATCCATGTAGGTATTAGTAATTTTTATTTTAATTTTACTTTATTATTTAGTGTTATGATTACAAATATTTTGTTGAAGTAATACTGTAAGCATGTTATTGCAGTTGTAGCACTATCGGAGTTCTGATTAGCACTACATATGGTAGTAGGTCCTCATGTTTCATAGTCTTCTCCAGCAGCCTTCCTACAGTTATTTATAACTCTGTCAACAATATTAAAATCTTATGGCTTGGGGTTATTGACTTGTAATGATCATCTCTGCTTATGTTTACAGTGACAAGTCATGTTATCTACTAAGATCAGAAAAAAGTCAGTGTTGAGAATACAACACCCATACCATGTGTGCTTTGGCTCTTAGTTTTGGACTAGCTCTAGCCTGATTCCACAGGTAGGATTACTAGTACAAGTGAACATACTCTAAGGGCACATCTTCAGATATAGTTTCATAAAAAATTAATCCTACATCTTTCCATGATATGAACCAAAATGGAATTAGTTGGGATGGTCAAACTTCAAACACAGTTAATTTTAAAACAGAAAGTGAAGTCAATAAAAATTGTCGCTGCCACTACTTTACAAAGTATGCAAAAATGTGTAAACCAGTATGATTTTCATGAAAATAGCAGAAATCATCCAACTGCAAGTCTTTCATCTGCAAATAAAATTGATCATAAATTCAAAGATTCTCTCTGTAATTTTTTTTTTTACTTTTGTATATGTTAGAAAAAAATAGAGAAAATTCTGTTCTTGGGGATTTCCTAGTTTCCTTGTTGAAAAACAGTAACAAAAATAAAGAAATAAAAATTGATAGCTTGTCCATTTGAAAATCAACCAATTTTGAATGATACATTGATAAGCAACAGGTTTTTTTTCCAAGAAAATACCTTTTCATTTTATTCTTGTCCTTTTTAAATAAGAGCACATATATAAATTTACAAGCATTATTCCTAACTCCCTTACAGGAGTTATTTCCTGTTACTTCTTGCAAGACTAGGGTTGTGGTTGCTATAAATTCAGTCTGGAAATGTATATATTGGAATTGGGGTCTCCCACATCCATTGTGAATTCAAAAGCTAAGGAAAAGGATTAATTTCCCCTTGGCCTGTGAATGACATGCAAATTTCCCTGACAATTTTCCCAGAAAATTAAATGTTCCCAGTATTTAAAAATTTCAGTATAGTTTCTTATTTTCAATAATTGGCTGGTACTATCTCTTAAATTTGATCCAAATTCTCTAACTGGTTTACCTGATGTAAACTGCCTTTCTTGCAAACAAACCATTCAAGAAACTGTTCACAGTCTATCAGGTAAGTTTTTCCCTTTGCTTCTTCAACTTTTTTTTATTGAATCACTGGCATTTTTATTCCAGTAATACATCTTTCCTCCCACAGAGACAGGGCCCCCTCATAGTAGGCACACAGAATGAGAGACAGTCCTTGGCCCGTATGGTTTATTAATTGGCTGGATAAATGATGGGAGGTGGAGCCCTGCCTAAGGTGATAACAGAGGTCACTCATCAAACCAGCACTGGAAGCTATTACTTATTACACTGAAATCCAGTGTCACGCTGAAGGACCTCCTAACAG